TCGAAGGCTATCTGCCTAAGGATAGAGATGCCTTCGTGGAGGACTTTCTAGGGAAGACTAGTTCGTATATACGTTACACATCGGGAAAACACCATCGCAGCCAGCCCGTTGACTGGATTCGAACTTAGGACCGAACTACCAGTGTTTAGCGACTTTACCTCTCGGCCGCTGGTGGGCAATACAAAAGAAGTCTATAATCGACACTTGCTTGAATTTATAAATCACTTAACGGTATTTCTAGTTTACTATGGTGCACCGCTTGGAGATGGGTCTACTTTGCACCTCAGGAAAATATATATACATAAAAATGTATACAAATATATGCGTATAAATAAAATATACAAAACTTTTGGAGTCAGCTAACAAGGATTTTAAATTTTTTATATATTTTTATAGTGTTTTTTTATATAAATACCAACAAGTAATTCTTATTTTTGCTGCTCTATATTTAGGAGAAATATTTCTGTAATGTACAAATTTCGACCTTACAAACAGTGCAATAAACAGTCTTTTTTGGGCGAAAAAACTAAGGATTTTGTTTTGGTTTCTAATTTTCTTTTTCTGAATGTAAATTGTCTACTGATTCTAAAAACTGTATACTGAAAATGAAAAAAAGATTTAGTGGCATTTATATAATATACTGTAAGCTGAGTATGTTGGCGCGCTTCTTGGCGCGGTTCACTCGAGGTGTTTAATTTTTCGTCGACCTTTGAATATGATTTAATTTGGGATCTATGTAACGTGGCTTTTCTGAATGTTAGTAATGTTTTACGAGATAAATAATAATTGCATAGTAGAATTAAATAAGTAAATCTTTGTTTGTACCTTGTGAAAACTACAGTCTATTTAATAAAGAAATTCGTACAATAATTTCGTTTTCGATTCATTCGTCAAGACAAACAGAGTGAGAAAAAATCAATCTTATGTATTAAGAAGTGTAAATGGCCTTATAATAACAGGAAGCGTATGTAGCACAGAGACTGTGAACACTACAATACGTTTAATTTATCAAGAGGATTAAAACCTCTGGCCTGGAAGGCAAATAGCAACTGCGTAACTTCTAAGGTAAGTGGCCTGCTTCGAACTCACTGCTTCCTCTCTTTCGCTTGGCAAAAAGGCCACACTTAAATACTTGGCGTTCGCCAGACAAACTTTGCATAAAAACCTTCACGCTTATAATTCTGGCCGGAAGTAGAAAATAAGAAGTGATAGTAAAGATTTAAAATAAAATAAACGTTAGTAAAACTTAAGATCCTTACAAGTTATCTCATTTCTTCTTTATAATTTGAATTTCTGTCATTCTCATTGTTGTTCTTGCAAATCCTTAGGCCTCAGATCATACATAAATAATTAGAGAAGGTTGTGGTCCGATGCTTGCTAGGGTGAACATTCAGCTGATATGGCAAAATTGCACAGTGAATGGCAGTTGGTATTTGCTTTCACTATCATAGATCATTGTTTGTATTAGGCTGACATAATATTCAACAGTTAGAAGAGAAAGATTCAACGGGGCCTTAAGTGTGCAAAAGTTTGCCTTTGTTAGTATGACGAAAACAATCATTATGTTGATAAATCCATTTTAAAATCTTGGGATATTCATTTTCTGAATGCATTAAAAGGGGGAAAATTATGTAAATATTTTTTTTAATTTTCAGAATCTGGTTGGTTCTAAGGCTGTGTGGGTGGAATATGCAACGCAATACGGTAATTCTGAAGATCATTGCTCGCGGCAGTACAAACTAAACGGTGATAACTTGCATGCTGTGCAAGAAGACACAAATTGCAGTTCCAGATGCATTAAATGCTTTTGAGGTCCATGGGAGTAGCAGTGGGAAATACTAAGAGTGAAATTCAAAGGTATAGGGAAGTAGGAATGAAAATTACTTTTATCAGATAACTTAAAAATGGTTATGTTACTAAGCGTTCTTATTGGAATGTAGGTTTCTTTTAAATAATAATACTATGATAGTTACCAGTAGTTCATTCATGAATATTTTTGATTGGTTATGATCTTATTGTAATCACATCCTTCAAAATTAAATTGATTGCTTAATTTTCCCCCTTGATTTTCATACTACAATATTATAAAAAGGAGGGGAAAAGTCTGCAAGTAAACATAACTCTTCTTTCTCTCTCTATATATAGACATGTATCTTCGTGTGCAACAACTAAGCAAAACAAATGTGACTTTTTCTTATTCCCTTTAAAAATTGTGTAAATAAATAGGATGAGAATTAAGTTCATTTCAAAGACTTATGACACATGAAATATACATGATCAAAATAAATTAGAAAATTAAGTTCAAATAAATTTTAAGCTAAATTACGTGTTGCAATGTAAGTTGCAATAATTCAGTTGTAATAATTAATACTAACAAAACCAAACATCATATTCCCATTCGGCAAAGTATAAAAATTCTTCTGCAAAACTGAAAAAATGACCAACACTTTGGCTTATTTGATAACTTTCAAATTCACTACTTTGTTTGCATTTAGAATTTATAACTTTAATTTTCCACAGAAATTTGTTTTTGATTTTAAAAAATTTCACTGGCATAATTTCATTCACTTCAGCATATATTAATAGATGCCGAAGGTTTTTGTACCTTACATAATTTTAAATCTTATGTAAACTAACGTAATTAATAACAAAATCAAAACATAGATCAGAAACTGCATAAAATTTAATTAATAATTACTACTAGTGTCACACGAAATGCTATGAAATTAATTAATAAAATAAGAATGAGATAAAATATATAGAATTAATATTCCACATGTGTGAAATTTGGAAGTTTTACGTTAAATATTTTTTTTAAATTAAGTATTTTTAAAAATTAAAAATTTTAATTTAAAAATGCCTTTAAAGCATGGGACCTTTCGTAATTAGAACTTGCAAATCCACTTCGCTAGTCTTTCATAACATTGCTTTTCTTTTATTAACAAGAAATATTGCATTCAGTTATTTAATTTAAGATATCAAAAATAATGCTACTGAAAGGCATGAATACTTACTTAAATTTGAAATTAATTTGGTTGACTTAAGATAATATTTAAAAAAATAAATCTTCATATATACGTCTAAAAATCAGACCTTATTAATTTTCTTTTATTTGAACGATATCTGAATTCTGCCTTAGTTTGGACTAGTAAATCATTGGGCAATTAAATGCCAAGCTATAAGAGAACTAATGTAATTACAAATGCACTGGATTTTATTTCCGGTATTAACTTTCAAAGAAAGTAAAATTTTCTGCATATTTGCATCATTTGGATTTATAGAATATGGCAAATCATGCAAAGGCTATCAGCCTAAAGGGAAGTACTATATATTCATGGGCGGTTTTGTAAGGAAAAGTAGCTTGCATTTCCATTTATTCATGTGTGTGTATATATATATATTTACATTGTTAATGCTAAAATCAATGCTTCATTAAAAATTCATTATTATTTTATTTTTAATACAACATACAGATACAGAATTATTTTAAATTCCAATAAACAATAATAATTTATTTTTAAGAAAACTTATTTTATGATTATATATTATATTACATGAATAAGAGAAAAAACATTTGTCAAGAAATGTATTAAACTTGTATTAGCAGATTCATGCTATCCTAGTAACAAGACTATCATACTTCAAAACTGTATTAAAACTGGGCAAAATAAAATCAACATAAATTCTACATTAAATGTTTAAATACTTATAAGTATGCAATGGTAGTTATATATACAATATAATATATGTTGTCATTTATAAAATATTAATGAAATGATATTTTTGGAAATAATGCACAAAATTTTAGTTTTGTTTTATAATTAGTTTAAGGAAGTGTTAGAAAAATATTTTAGGTCATTTCCATTTTTCCCCTGTTGATATTGGTATATTAAAATATATGGAATAATTAAGTTGTATCTAGTTAGTAAAACAAAACATTACGAAAAGTATGATACGGCATATTTTTAATCAATATAATTACTTCATTCTGGAATTATAATATTGTCGTAAATTAATACCACTGAAAAAAATATTATTACACTAAAGGAATAAACGAGATTCTCGACCGCGTTGTTCAAGTTTTTGTAATTTTACTTCATAACACACCCGTACATAAACATATTAGACTGAATTATAAACCAGGTATAACTAATTAGGTAATCCTAGAAAAAGAATAAATTAAACCTAGTAAGCAAAAAATATATACATTACATTCAGAATTCTAAATGTTTATATAAACGTTTCTCGCAAGGCCTGCCGGGAAAAAGATGTTAAACGTTCTTTGGTCAGACGATTGGAAAAGAACGCTAACATGATTAGTTTTGTTTTCAACAACCACATTACCATTTCAATTAAATACCACAAACAGTGATTAAATTTTGGAATAATTAGTTTTAAATAATAATACGGCCTCCTGATTGGCTAATTTCCAGTCAGTCACGTGATTCTTCCGCGCGGCTACTGAAATAACATCTGTTATTCTACAAGCAAATCAGCTGTTACCGCTACAGTTTGTTTTCAACCTGTTACCATTACAGGAAATTCTTCTGTAACTTTACAAAACTTTTGCCTGTAAAGAGCGAACTTTTTTTTTACCGTGAACTACATAAAAAATTATAGAAAAATTCTACAATAAAATTAAAATTTTTTAAACAGTTTCTTACTCGATAGTTTGAAAGATTTTTTCCTGAAATATAGAAATTTTATAATACTATAGGAATTTTCTGAGAAAAATGTGTCAGCAGCCACATCGCAGCCATTTAACTTCTAAAGCAAAGTCTTTGAGATTCGTTTCAGGCATAGGATGATTTTAAGCAAGCATTTTCTAAAGTGTTTCTTACTTGATAGTTTGAATAATTCGTTTTCTGAAATTTTGAAATGTATGATACTTTAGGTAATCTTTCGAGAAAATGTGTCAGTAGTCACATCGCAGCCATTTAATTTGTAAAGCAAAGTCTTTGAGCTTCGTTTCAAACATAGGATGATTTTAAGCAAACATTTTATAAAGTGTTACAGTGAGTTAATTTATTGCTATTCTTGAAGGGTTTCTGGATACACAATATTAAACGTTTTCCCATTGGGAGCAAACGTTTCCCATTGGGAGCAAAGATGTAAAGATTATCCTTTCTTCCAACTCTAGAACAACAACCAACATATAACTGGCCGTGTGAAAAGCATGGACTTTGTAGGTTTAGCCCAAAAACCTTTAAAGACTGTCCTTGTGGCTTGTTTATACTTATCGCAAAACTTAAAGATATTAGGAACTGAAGCCGTTTAAAATGAGATGGTACATCAGATGGTATAATGGGAATTCTTGGGATGAACACGTCTTTTTTTTTTGCATGACCAGTTAAAATAGTTGCTTCAATAACATTTTTCATGAGCTTCTTCACAGATAATCTTGTACTATTGCAAAGTGAAGGGGGATCCAAATTTCTCAACAGCATTATGAGTGCACCAACTTTCAACTCCAGAATATGCGAAGGTACTCCAGGCAGTTCCAAACAATTCAAAAATTCAGTTGGGTAATTTACAGCCTCGTCTACAGAACACATAGTATCAACTGACTTGTAAATTTTAACACTGCCTGGCAACTGTCCTAAAAATTGTTTATTAATGGCTCTCACTGTATCATTTTTTGGTGCAAGAATGCATCTTTCACATAGCCAGCTGTGATCGCTGAAGTGCTGTCTTAAGATAGGAAATATTGCAGGTGAAAGGTCTTGGTAGCTTTTCACGATGTTTCCAATACATTCCAGTGATATGCATCAATCTTTTTTATCTCGGGTGAAGTATCCATTTCCTAGTTTCAGCAAATTGTCAGCAAATTCCTTAGCCATAGTATCTCCATTAATCTGAACTCTCATATTAGTTCTAAGATGAAGCCTGTGAATTTCATTCCAAATATAGGATGATTTTAAGCATGTATGCATTTGATCAGCTCGTGTCCCCCGTTGAAAATCTCCGTCAAGTACCAGTGTAATGCCTCCCATTCTTTTGTTGTTATGTCTCAAGTCTTGCAAAGTAACATCAAGGGCTTCGAACGCAGCTTTATAAGACATTGTATATTCATCCCACACAATTAACTTGCACTCTTGTAGAACTTTTGCTTTAGCAGAACTTCTAGAAATATTAAATGTTGGTGTTTCGGTATTTTCCAGATTTAATGGCAATTTAAATGCTGAATGAGCTGTTCTTCCTCCCATTAGCAATATAGCAGCAATTCCGGATGATTCAACCGCCAGCGCAATGTGTTTCTTAACTCGTACTTTTGCCGCCCTCACGGGGCTCACTTTTGTGAGTACGGGTGTGGCAATCCCGAGGTACCCTAGCCCTTCAAGGGATCATCTTCTTGATGAGACGGGTGTCACGATCCTGGAGCCCCAGTGATCTATCCTCTTTTCCGTCTCCTCTCCTCTTGGCTGGAGCTTTTCCCCTTCCCTTCTCCCTTGTGGTTTCTCTCTACGGAGTTTGGGGCTCGTCACGAGAGGCTGGAACAGACCTTGTTTCTAGAAAGCTGCCCACGTGTTTGCCGTGCGTGGAGACCCGTGTCGCTGGAAACGAGGGTCCTGGTAGTTGAGGGGCGAGGTACTGTCCCCAACACACTGCTTTGGCCTCTGCTTCAGCTAAACGGGAGGCACCTTAGTCGTCCTCACGGGTGTCAATCGGCTGGTCACTAGGCCTTGTGTCAGTGGCTTGGGGTCAAGCTCTCGGGGGTACCTGCTTTCGGGAAAGCCGACTGTGGGGCTTCAGTTTGCGTATAGGTCCGGCTAGCCCTAACACAGGAATCTGTGTTCCCTTGCTGGGCCCCGTGGTGGGCGGGGCCGTCGGACCCGAATCTTATATTTTTGAATCATGGCTTCCTTATTTATTTTAAAAAAACCTGAAACAAACGACACGAATAAAGATATTGAAATCATTGACAAATCTGTGAGCAAGAAAATCCGTACCGATGCAAATGTCAAAGAAACTACTGAATGTCCTCGCTTTGTTGTTGTTACCAGTGCCTCTGAAGAATTTAAAAAGATGTCTCCTTTCCTAATAAACAAATACATTCATTCCTGCGTAGGTGAGCCAAGGAACATAAAGCGTCTCCGTTTCTGGTGAGACCTGCTTATTGATACCTGTTTTCAGCCACCCAGTCTGCCTTCACATTTTACGTCAAACCAAACTTGGACAAGTATCTATATCTGTGTCAGCATACAAAACAATCAACTTCTGTAGAGGCGTGATCTCGGAAATCGACCTTCTGTTTGTTTCAGAAGAGAGTTTGTTTCCGAGTTAGCTGACCAAAAGGTTTGTGCTGCTAAGTGGATCAAGATGCGTAAGGAAGTTAGTTGATTGACACGAAACACGTGATCCTGACCTTCAGCTTGCCTGATCTGCCGAAGAATATCAAAGGCTGGATATCTTAATTGCCCCATAAGACGTTATATTTCTAATCCTATGCAATCCTTCCTGTGACTTATCGGCCATTTCAAGATGTCGTGTTGTGGAACCCTGATGTGCACTGCTGCGGCATTGTGATTAAATTGCAAGGGTGACCATCCAGCATTTTCTCGTTCCTGTCCAAAATGGAAATCAGAAAAAAAAAAAAAGTACAGATGCAAAAGTTACTAGGAACATCTTGTATGCTGAAGCCAGAAGGCTAGTTCAAAGCACACACCTTCAACCAAATATATTGTTACGGTTTTCTCTTCTGACACCAGTTGTTATGTTATTTTCTTCCTTCACGTTCGTACGGGATTCGTGTGGATTTGGAGTGAATAAGACAACACTTGATGAAGTATCGAAACGCACTTTATTGGCTAGTATTCTCAGGCAGCTCCAAAATCACTTTTACAGTAGTCGAACTGTTATAAACACGCTCTCTCATAGATTCGGATCTCTCATAGATTCATTCACACAATCTTGTCAGATGATTTGAAGATGAAATGTGTCAGTGCAAAGTATGACCCGTGGCTGCTGAATCCAGATCAAATGGAAACTCGGTAGTTAACTGCCGCAAATGTTTTGAAAAAAGCACAGAAGACCCAGCATTTCTTGAGACAATGGTTACTGGTGACGAGACCTGGGTGTATGCTTATGACCCAGAGACAAAGATGCAGTCATGTGAATGGCACAAAATGACCTCTCCTTCCTTGATCAAAGAAATCACATCATATCAAATCAAAAACAAAAGTTATGCTCATTGTGTTTTCGACACAATGAGATTCGATATGGTGCATCATGAATTTCAGTTAGTCAAATTGTTAATGACTCTTTTTACATTTGCAAAAAAATGTACATGTACCTCTTTTTACGTGCTAGTTTTGAAAAGACTGAGGGAAGCAAGGTACTCTTCTGTTATCAGGACTGGATTCAGAAATGTGTCTGTGCATGCACGTGTCTATGCATAGTGTGCATATGTGTGGGTGTAGACAGGCATACATACATATTGTTAATTTTTTTTTTTTTCTGACACCAGTTGTTACGTTATTTCCTTCCTTCACGTTCGTACGGGGTTCGTGTGGATTTGGAGTGAATAATAATGACACTTGATAATGAAGTATCAAAACACACTTTATTTACAAATATTATTCAGGACAAGCTCCAAACACTTTTACAGTCATCAAAAGATCTACATAAACACGCCGGAACAATCAGCGACACAGCCTTCACACTATTGGGCAATAACAGTGGAGACAGCTTCACTGCAAAGCACCCGAGTACAGCTCACGACTCTGCTTGGTCGTTCTCGTTCTCGGAATGCCACATACTCTCTAGACTCTCTTTGCTACAACTGGCAATGCATTCGACGATACACAAGAGTATAGCTCTCAACACAGTCTAAGACAGAACTCGACGATGCACTAACTCGCGATATACTAAAAGACTCTCTTGATGCACTCAGCACTAGACTTCAAGACACGCGCTCAATGACTATCAGCTTGCTAGAGGAGGCACACACACTAACTGACTGCGGATCAGCAGGGTTTATATAGCTTTCGGTTTGTGTACGAGAACATTCTGGGGTAAGAATTCGTTCCAGAAGGTTCTCCATCCGTCCATGGTATATCGCCAAATGGGTCATTTCTCACCAAATGTGGCAACCCTGCCTTCCTTTGCCATTTTATGGCAACCCTAATGCTGCTTTGGGGGGGGCTATCTTACCACACCTGTACATTTCGTAACAGTATCATATGCCATTGTCCTCAAATCAACACATACCATTGCCACCCAAACTTCAATAAGTACACAGACTCCACCAAATAAAACCCAGCTGATTGCAAGTAAGAAAAGGAAATCCAACCCATGTCGTATAGGAAAAAGAAATAGTAATTCAAAGCAAACCCAAAAATACCTAACAAAGCCTTAGCAATAGCTCATTTGATGACATGGTGTCTGAATCTTTAGATTCAGATAGTATGAAAGTAGAGGAGGGGCTAGAAGTTTCCAAGTATCTACTTCCATGAAAAACTAAAAACCAGCACAGAAAGAACAAACATCAATCGTAATGGCCACCCTTGTTTCTTGGAACTGTCGTGGCTTCCATCACAATTTGCTCGACATCAAAAGTGTGGTCAATACTCATCATCCTGTGTGCTTGGCAATACAGGAAATAAATCTGAAACCAGAAGAATAAGCAAAACTTCAGAGGTTTTCGTTTGTCAGGAAAAATAATCTTGCATGTGAATGTGCCAGTGAAGGTTAAGTCTCCTTACCTCACTCGACTATCCATCAAATGCACTTCCTTTGATGACATCCCTCCAAGTTATCGCTACTCAAGCAAATTTTCATATTGTTGTTTCAGTCATTTCTCTTTATTTGCCTCCAAATGAGCACATTGATAAACAGAATTTAAATGGTGTTATAGAGCAGCTGCCTGAGCCCTTTATCATAGTTGGGGATCTTAACGGTCATAGTCCGCTCTGGGGAAGTTAAGACACAAATTCCCGAGGAAGACAAATTGAGCAGATGATTGAAGATCATAGTCTTTGTCTCCTAAATAATGGGCAGGACACATAATTCCATGAGCCTTCAAGGACATTCCATGCTCTCGACCTTGCCATCTGTTCACCATCTCTGTTGCCATTTTGAAGTTTTATTGTGGGAAATGATCTTTACAACAGCAATCATTATTCCAGTTTTTATCTCTTGCACGAAGAGGGGCAAACCCCATGTCCAGATCCCCTTGGTTCATACTTGATAGGGCAGACTGGGAACTCTTCTCTTCCACTGCAGAGCTCATAGAGAACAGCTTTCAGGACATCTTCTGTGCAGAGTCTTTATGTTGACTGTTACGAACTATCACTCCATTTGAGGTGTGAGGAGTTGTCTCTTTTATAGTATTAACTGTCTCAATATGACCATCTTTATAAACTGTGTTTACTTGATAGTATCTGTGACATTTTATTTGAAGCACGTAGAACACATTTACTGAGCATATCGATGATGCAGTTGAAGCAGTTACTAATACTATTATTCAGACAGCTATGCTGAACATCAGAAACATCAGAGGGAACATCAGAAAAATGCTTAAGCATTCGAAACCATGGTGTAATCGTGACTGTCA